GAGACAACTGGTAGTGACCCTGCCTCCCCTATTTTTTTGAATAGGGCCCAGGCAGTGCTCCCACCTGGGCCTCCCAAAGGATTAAGGTTACAGGTGTGAGCCACGGTGCTCAGCTATAGGCCCCCACTGGGAAGCACTTCTCTAAATTATAACAGCTTCTCAGTTCTCCTTCCCCACCTTGACCCAGCAGCTCCCAAACCCCGTCCTTCGAATCCTCCCTTCCCAACTTTGTCTACCTTCATGCTGTCTTCCAGTACGAGTACATATTTTGTATTTTATTTAACTTGGCTTGTGTTTTGGGCACCAAGAAATGTAAAAAGGTAACTTTCTATCACTTCCACTGGCAGGGAACCTGATCGCTGGCACTGCGAACAGAAGGCAAGAGCGAAATTAAACACGAGGAATGTAGAAATCGGTTATTTCCTCCCAGCCAGGCGCGGCTACCAGCCAAAGGGCTTTGTTGTAGAGGGCGCTTGCTCTTTGTTGTGAAAAGAGACCGGGGGTGGGAGAGGTGTTAGGGACGCCCCTCCACACCCCCGTGACTTTCACCTTGCCATAAGCAGCAGCAGGACCGAAGGAACAGAGAATGGAAAGAACACCTCTCGGATTGGGGAGGTTTGCTGCTGAATCTGTGCACGTGCTCAGTTGCCTTGGGGACCTCTAGGTATGGGCTCTGCACACTTTGGGGCACACAGTTCATTCTAAAGCGAGCTCTTCTCAAGTGCAATGCCACCGTGCTACCCTCTGTTCATCTCGATGGTGCCCACGAAGTGGTACAGCTCATCACAACACCTGCAGGCCAGACCCTTGCCGCCCTGAGCCCGACGCGTAGACTTCGGGCACAGCAAACTTCCTGTCATTCTCCAAGAGTCCCGGGCCTGTCTCCACCTTCAGGCTTTGGCACACACACGGCGCCTCTGCCTGGTGCACCCTCGCCAGCTCCCGACCCACCTACTCTCATCTTCAAAACCCTGCCTCTTGCCTCTAGGAGTTACCAGGCTGCTCTCAAGTCAGACTCAGAAGATGCCAACTCCATGCCAGCTCCCCAGTCCTATGGGTCTTGGGTTGAGTTTTTTCCCCTTTCAAAAAAATTGGGGGGCAGGTCTACTACCAGATCACTTGATTACAAGCAAAATAGGAGCATGACTTTTTTCCTGGAATGTTGCCATTCTTCTCTCAAAATAAAATACGTTCCAGGAATTGGGATTGAAAATGTGGGATTTCATAATTTGTAATTTTTAAAACGATGGTCCGGAGATTGCGCAATCCTCATCAGGACGTTTTTTCCCTCTGACTCTGTGGTTTTTGTCTAAGCTGACGCAGCACTCCAGACAATCAAAGATAAATCTCTCTCGGCTGGACCATGATGTCCTCGCAGCCTTGAAAGAGGGACACCTGGGTAGAAGGCAGGGCTCCCCCAGGGTGACGTCTCAGGATTCCCTGCCTGCTGCTGCTAGGACCAGGGTGGCATGTCAACACTGCCCACAAATGCCAAATGCCAGGCTTCCCTGCGCCCACGGAGAAGGCCAGCCACGCATTCTGGAGTGACACAGCCTGAGGTGATGCTTCAAGAAGGGAGTCAAAACAGAGGCCACCGTCTCCTCAATGAGTCAAACAGAAAGTTCCCATGTGACCCAGCAGTTCTCTCCCAGGTAAACACCCGAGAGATATGAAAACATACACCCACGGGATACCTTGTACACAAATGTTCACGCAGAAACCTTCAGCCAAAGGTAGAAACAGCAGCCCAGGTTTCCTTCAGTGGAAGAATGGATAGACAAAATGTGGTCTATTAATACAATGGAATATCACTTAGCCATAAAAAGGAATGAAGTCTAACACGAATTACAACATGGATGAACCCTGAAACCATGCTGCTGAGTGAGAGAAGCCAGACACAAAAGGCCACACGTTGTATGAGCCTATTTATATGAAATGTTCAGAATAAGCAAGTTGATAGAGACAGAAAGGAGATTAGTGGCTGCCAGAGGGGCTGAAGGGAGGAGAATGGGGAGTGACGCCCAGAGAGAACGGGGTTTCCTTACGGGATGATGAAATGTTCTGGAAGGAGCGGGGGTAGTTGCACAATGCTGCAGTGTCCTAAATGCCACTGAACTGTACACTTCGAAATGGGTTAAATGGTAAATTCTATGTTTATGTGTATTTTTACCACAATACATTTTTTTCAGGGAAAAGAAAAAAAGAACATGTTCCGTCCTATCAGCCACCACCCAGATCTTCCTGTCCCTTGCCTGTCCCAGAACTAGGCGTGCTCTATTTAAGACTTTACAAGGTGCTCTGGGTTCCCGTCCCATGAAGGTCTGAGTATCTGTTCCGCTCAATGAACTGAAGACCAAGTGAAATAAATTATGCCCAGATTGAATTTTCCTTTCTTGACAAGTCATCAGCCCCTTTGAGGAATCCTGGGTTTGCACATCTGGGACTGATCAAAAACCAGTGCGTTTGCAACAAAAAAGAAAGAGAGAGAAAGAAAGAAAGAGAGAGAGAGAGAAGGAGAGAGAGAGAGAGAAAGAGAAGGAGAGAGAGAGAGAGAAAGAAAGAAAGCAAGATAGGAAGAAAGAAAGAAAGAAAGAAAGAAAGAAAGAAAGAAAGAAAGAAAGAAAGAAAGAAAGAAAGAAAGAAAGAAAAGAAAAGAAAGAAAGAGCGAGCCTCCTGGGTCAGGCACAGGCAGACATGCAGGCACCTCCCACACACAGCAAATGACGCCGGTGACAGAGGAATGAAAAGTTCCAGTTCCCACAGGCCAAAGAGGTCAGTGCTCTGCCTCCAAAAACTTTCAAATGCAGCCTACAAAGGGCCAGATACTTAACTTGGGGTCTTTGGAGGGATGAAGTGCAGGGGCTTTAAGGGACCTAGAGGTCTTCTTCCCTCGCTCAGGCCTTCCCAGTCAAGCCAACTCTCCTCTCCAGGCCGGAGGGAGGACTCTGGGAGCCACCACTGATCTGGGCTCTCAGACAGGGTTCTCAGGGCATTGGTACCCATACCTGCCAGCAGGGTTGAGCCCAAGCCCAGGGTCAATTTATCCCCTTCCAGCCTCACCCCAGTCGGAACCAGAGACCCAGATCCCTGCCAACGTTAAAAAAGCCCCACATGGCACGAGAAGCCTAGTAGCCAGCTCTGCCGTGACAGCTATGTGGCCGGTGATTAGATGGGCACCTCCCCCTAGAATCTGGCACAGGGCCCAGCCAGGACGGCAGCTGTACCCACCCTGGCTGTGTCATGTTGGGCACACACCTTAGTAATTCTGAGCCTCGACTTACTCCTTGTAAAAAGCACCCAGCTCATAGAACAGGCAGTGAGCTCTTCCATGGCACCCCTGCGCATGTCTGGTCTGTAGCAAGCACCATATAAATGTCAGCTGCTTGTATGATTACAAACGGTGTTATTACTATTCCTGCTCTTACACCTTAAGAGACTCTGCAAAAATCAAAATCGCCTTCTTGGTTTCTCCTCCCTGGGTACATGGTCCAGCAGTTTCACCTGGACCTCCTCTAAGATGAAACGTGTGTGTTTCAGGTCAGGTGAAGGTCAGGTTCACATGTGGAGGTGGCAGTGGGCAGACAAGTGTCTCAAAGAAAGCAGTGTCAAGAGTACAGATGGGACCCCCGGGGGGGCGACAGCATTCCATATCAGCGGGGGAACCTTAGGTAGGCACTTCACCTTGCTGAGCCTCAGTTTCCTCAGCTGTGAAGTGGGCATCAAGAGGCCTACCGCCCAGGGGTGTTGCAGCGATGACAGGAGAGGTAAAGTGAATGGGCAACACCCACACCTGCTCCTTCTCCTGAGTGGAAACAGCCAGAACAGGGGCAGAAGCAGAAAATCAGGTGCATGCAACCTGGACCCAGGATCCCTGGGACCAGACAGCGGACAGTCACAACTCATGGCCTCAGTCTACCGGAGAGGGCCACGCCCCAGTCCTGTTCTGCAGGCTCTCTTCACCATCACACTCCACACCCGGGATGGGGAAAGCAGGCTTACCCCATTCTACCAGGGCAAGGGGTCCAAAGGCCAAAAGAGGAAACTCACAGCCCCACTCTTAGCTGCAAGGCAAGCCAGGCATTGCACAGGTTCCCAGATGCTTCTCTCAGCCAGAGCAGCAACTCGCATTTTGGCTGAGAGACGCCCAATTCAAGTTGGACTGCGAGGAGCAGGCATCAGCAAAGTCTGCCCTGGCTTGTCCACCAGCCCAGCCTTAGCAAGGGAGGCTCTGGGTCTGCACCACGTGAGGCACCAGCCCTGGCTCTGTGGGATGGCTGATCTCCCCCACACTCCAGAGCGAGCCCCCAGCTTCCAGAGTAACTCTCCCCACGCAGGAGTTATGCGGGTGCGCACTCTGGCTAAAGAGACCCAGAAACGTGTCCCCCCAAACTGCAGAACCGTGACATGGCCCCACGTCTCTACACATCCATTTGAAGCTCTGGAGACAGGCAGAGCTGGGTTCCAGCCTGACCCTCAGCATCTTCATCTGAAATATGGTAAGGCTACCTTGCAAATGAAATCATAGAGGGGCGTGACCCTCTAAACTGCAGCGCTGCGTGCACATGCCACGGGGTCACCCTGGCTCTCCTGCCACGAGTAGGACACATTCTAATGTCTGCCCTAGCCTTGTCATCAGCTTTCCAGTTACTGACACCCCCTGCAAACACAGGAATGCAACAAATGCTAGTGAACCGCACAAGGAAGGCAAGAGAGTAAACAGCCTCCTAGGAGAAGGGGTCTGCACCCATATCATTGTTGAATCCCGGCTCCCCGGCGTCCTGGCTGTAAGGTCCTGGGCAAATGAGTTGTTCTCCCTGAGCCTCAGTTTCTCCATCTGCAAAAGGGCATGCCGCAAAGCTAGGTTCCGCAGTGCAAGCAGAGCACTCAGCGTGGTGCCCACACACAGTCAGCCCTGCGAGGTGGCATCTGCTCTAGTTACTCCAGCTTCTCTGAAGGGTAATAGTTTGCAAAAGGGAGAGGGGCACGGAAGTCACACTTACTCCTCAGGGCTCCAATTACCAGCTCGCTGGCGTCTCCCGCGTCGAGCAGCGGTAGCGGCGCCGACAGCACGGGCAGGGCAGGCACAGCGGGCACAGCGGGCAGACAGCTCAACACGGACAGCTGGATACGCCCAGGGATGCGAGTGGGTGCCGGGGTTCAGCGCACGGCCTCTTGTAGGCTGCCAGGAGTCCCCGAGGCCACGCCCCCAGGTGGCCGGCAGCGCTGATAGGACAGAGCAGCTCCGGCCCTGCCCCCCCCGGCCACGCCCCACAGGCTCCACGGGCTGAAAGGAGGCGGGGGCGAGGCGCGGGCGCCGGGTGGGCGAGCAGGGCGGGGCCGCTCGCCTCCTGGGCCGGCTGGGGACAGGGACGCCCTCAGCTTCATTGGCCACACAAGTGTAGCTTTCACTGAGCGCTTGCTTTGTGCCTGGCGCGGTGCCAAGCACTTTCCACCAGGGGCTTGCAAATTTACCAAATCCCAGCTCTCTACAGCTCAACTGGAAAATGGGACTTGAGAGGCGACCTCCCAGGATTTTAGCAAATGAAATCCGCAAGGGCTGGGCGCTGTGAACTGTGGCGCCCTGCAGAGTACACGGTTGCTGAGTTGACTCCCGCCCTCTACACGTGCTTCGAAAACTGACCCACACTCTTCCCAATTTGCAGAGGAAGAAAGGAAGGCTTACCACAGGATGGGGGCGCTAGCACGGGGGTCCAGGCTCTGCGCTTTACTTTCATTACCCCCAGGAATCCGGCAGGTGGAAATCATCCGATTTCACAGATCCAGTAGCTGAGGCTTAGAGAAGAGCATGCCCCAAGTCCGGTGGCTAGCAGTGCAGCCCGGGAACCTATTTTGCCCCAAGGCATTTAGCATTCTTAACCTATGCAGGTATATGCGTAAATCATCCTTGAGCCAGACAAAATCACCTTTGTAAATCCATGTTCCTTAAGAATTGACGGACTCCCCCAGCCTCCTCCCTCAGTCACAGAATGTGGACCTGTATGCAGGCATGGTGGGTGCCGGGGCCTAAGGGCACTGCTCATCTTTGGACCGAGACATCAGAATTAGCTCCTTCAGCATTCAGTCGTTCCCCAAATACCCATGGAGTCACTCTGTGTGAGCCATGTGCTATGCAGCAGGGACAAACAAGACACCTTTGCGATCTCAGAATCTGCAGCCCCCGCGAGTCAGGCACATGGTAGAAACAAGGATTGGGAATGAGTGGGACAAGGGCTATGGAAGGCTGCCTGTGTGACATGGACTCCTACTGGGAGGCTTTGTCCAAGATTTCGGTGCGGCTCAAAGGCAGATACGGAATAGTATAGATTGGCCCGGGGCGGTGGTTCATGCCTGTAATCCCAGCACTGTGGGAGGCTGAGGTGCCTACCTCACCTGAGGTCAGGAGTTTGAGACCAGCTTGGCCAACATGGTGAAACCCTGTCTCTACTAAAAATACAAAAATTAGTGGGGCATGGTGGTGCATGCCTGTAGTCCCAGCTACTGGGGAGGCTGAGGCAGGAGAATCACTTGAACCTGGGGGGCATAGGTTGCAGTGAACCAAGATCACGACACTGCATTCCAGCCTGGGAGACAAGAACAAAACTCCATCTTAAAAAAATAATAATAGTGATTCCTCAAGGATCTAGAAATAGAAATTCCATTTGACCCAGCAATCCCAAAAGAACTATAAATCGTTCTACTATGAAGACATATGCACATGTATGTTTATTGCAGCCCTGTGTACAATACCAAAGACCTGGAACCAACCCAAATGCCCATCAATGATAGACCGGACAAAGAAAATGTGGTACATATACACCATGGAATACTATGCAGCCATAAAAAACGATGAGTTCGTGTCATTTGTAGGGACTTGGATGAATCTGGAAACCATCATTCTGAACAACTGACACAAGAACAGAAAGCAAAACACTGTATGTTCTCACTCATAGGCGGGTGTCGAACAATGAGAACATGTGGACTCAGGGAGAGGAGCATCACACACTGGGGGCAGTTGGGAGGATAGGGAGAGACAGTGGGGGGTGGGAAAGAAGGGGAGGGTGGGGAGTGATAACATGGGGGGAAATGCCAGATACAGTATTCAACTAAAGTAAAATAAATAAATTTTAAAAATATATATATAATAACAATGCAGATATTCTCTGTTACATTTCTCTTTCTTTCTCTCCTCTCTCTCTCTTCTATCTCTTCTCAGTCTTTGAAGCATCATTCTTCAGATCTACTCACTGGCGTGCAGTCACATCCAACACATATTAAGCACCTACTATGTGCTGAGCTGTTTCGAGCACTGGAGAGTTTTCAGTGGTGAATAACACTGTTCTGAAACAATGGTCCTTGGATTGACAAAGGACAAAGCCAAGGGGAGAAAAGATCTGTGTTGACAGATGCCTTTGGGGCCTGGCACGATGGCTCTGGCCCGTATTCCCAGCACTTTGGCAGGTGGATCACTTGAGCTCAGAACCAGCCTGGGCAACATGGCGAAATCCTGTCTCTACAAAAATTAGACAGCGTGGTGGGATGTGCCTGTGGTTACAGCTACTCCGGAGGCTGAGATGGGAGGATTGCTTGAGCCTGGGAGGCAGAGGCTGCAGTGAGCTGAAATCAAATCACTGTACTCCAGCCTGGCTGACAGAGCAAGACCCTGTATCAAAACAAAACAAAACAAAAACAACAGCAAAACCAATGCCTCTGAGTACCCGGCCCAAAGCACTATACAGCCAAATCCTGCCACCCCAGCAACCCTCCAGGCTGGTAGCGTTATTAGCCCCATTTTTCCAATAAGGGAACTGAGCACAGAGAATGTAAGTCACCTCCCTGAGGCCACACAGCTTCTGAATGGAGGATTTGAGATTTGAATTCACATTCTCACCCACTCGGCTGCCATTGCCCATGACCAGGAAACCTTGGGTGCAGGGGAACGGAACAAACTGGGTCCCCACTTCATCCTCACTCCAGCAAAGGGGAAGCTACACAGAATCAGCCTTTTCTTTCTTTCTTTTTCTTTTCTTTTTTTTTTTTTTTTTTTTTTGAGATGGAGTTTCGCTCTTGTTATCCAGGCTGGAGTGCAATAGCGCGATCTCGGCTCACCACAACCTCCGCCTCCTGGGTTCAGGCGATTGTCCTGCCTCAGCCTCCCAGGTAGCTGGGACTACAGGCATGAGCCACCATGCCCAGCTAATTTTTTCTATTTTTAGTAGAGATGGGGTTTCACCATGTTGACCAGAATGGTCTCGATCTCTTGACCTGGTGATCCACCCGCCTCGTCCTCCCAAAGTGCTGGAGAATCAGCCTTTTCATAGGCCCAGCATATGGATGGGGGGGCCGGTGCTCAATAGTGAAATGTTTGCCGCTTTGCTTATCCAACACTCATCTCCTAACAGATCCTTTGTCCGGCAACCTGCAGGCTCCTCACCAGCCCGGCATGGCCCTGCGGAGACCCAGCCCAGCCCCGACGCTCCAAGGACACCGGTGGCAAAGTTGCAACCAGAGACCACCGCTATGCAGGCTGCAGCTGCTGTCCGGGCTGCGTCATCCCTGGGGCAGACTGAGGCCTTGGCTTGCTGATTTGTGCCATCATCCGGTATCAGGCTCAGTTCAAATCCCCGCTCCCGCCCTTCCAAGCTGTTGGCCTTGAGCAAGTCACTTCATAGCTCTGTGTTGTGTGCCCCATCTGTGAAGTGAATGTGGTAATGATGGCATCTCTCTGTGTGGGCATAAACGGTTAATAGATGGGAAATAATACGCGGCCTGACGCAGGAAGTGTCGGTTAATACCATTAGCATTAGAGCCAGCAAAGCAGAAAAAGAGAGAGGAGTTCAGTGGCGATCAACTTTTCCATCATGTTGCAATCCCAGAACCTAATCACCAAAAAAAAAAAAAAAAAAAAATGTGTTTCATGGGCAAGGGGGATCCCTGGGAAGTCCAAATGGGAGAGCACCAAGTTGTACCGAGGAAAGCAGCAAGACAGCCAGTCCCGGCCTAAGCGACCCCCCCGGGATGGGACTGGTCACTGATACCCTTGGAAATCCCAGCAAAGGATCCTATGTTGCTACCCAGGCAGTGAGTTAAATTTTGGACAGTTTGAGGCAAAGGAAAATAATCATCCGTCTGGTCACAATGAAGCCCAACCTGAAAAAACGAACAGACAGGCCTGGTGGGGCCACCCTAGAGGGCCCAGCCCTCTGCCCACTCTCTCTCGGGACCCAGATGGGCCGATGGAAGGGCCACATGCCCATCTGCAGAACGGTGGGTGGGGCCGGTGGTTATAAGTGTTACTTACGTGATGTCAAGATCAGGGTCTCTCTTTCCTCTCAGTGTGGCTGCTGCAGGGCTTCTGTCCTCACACCAATTTCTTATTCACCATTTATTTTATTCCATGAACTGGACATAAAGAGCAAAGGCTGGGGAGTCCCAGTTTCTCAATGGTTCCTGCCACACCCATTCAGCAGCTGCAGAATGTCACCAGCCCACGGTCTGGCATCAAAGACCACTAAAAGCCTGGGCAACATGATGACACCCCATCTCTACAAAAAGTACAAAACTCATCCAGGCATGGTGGTGCACGCCTGTAGCCCCAGGCACTCGGGAGGCTGAGGTGGGAGGATTGCTTGAACTCAGGAGGTCAAGGCTGCAGTGAGCCGTGACTGCACCACTGCACTGTACACTCCAGCCTGGGCAACAAAGCCAGATCCTGTCTCAAGGGAAAATCAAAACAAAACCAAAAAACCCACTAACAATTTGAGGCGAGGGGACATCGGGGTGCCTTTTTATGATGGGTGATGTGTGATACAGCGCATCTTTCCAAGCATTTTCGGAAGACGTGGAAAAGCTGTGCTACCTCTGTATTAACAGGTGCTAATCACGATCCTCAAAGGCGCTCCATGGGACCCACTCCTCTCCCCTTGTTGGAGAGGAAGGGGCAAAGGTGACATCTTGTACGTCTTACACCGGCAGGTCATTCTTCGGGGGCGGTGGGGACTCTACTAGTGGGGAGCTCTGGGGTGGGGTCCTGATCAGTTGGAGTTGCTAGTAACAGAAATCCACTCGAGTCAGCGGAAGCAGAGAAGGGGACTGCTTGGGAGGACACCGGGCTATTTCAGAACCAAAGGACAAGTAAAGGGAACCCTGGGGAGGCACCAGGCCCTCTGGCAGCAGTTTCTGCCTATTTCTTCCCTCTGTGC